ATTTGTCTAACACATTAATGTCTAATAATTATCTGACTGATTTACTAATATCTAACAACCTCACATCTGTCGCATTCCCATGAATTTGAATGGTTGGTGATAAAACTGTGCAGCGGTAATTTGTTATGTTTTAGTCCCCCTAACCAGGAGGGTGAGGGAGAACTGAGGCAGGACTCAAGTATGCTGACCCAGGTGCTAGTAAAAAAGGAGGTTTAATGGGAAAACACAAAGTAACACCACATAACGTAATATTGTCCAAGTACTTATACAGTCCGGGGTAGAGTGGATATGGTTGAAGAGACCAGGATGAACAGGTGAGTAGACGGCAGATGAGAAAAAATAAAAAGGAACAAAAGAAGCAAACAACCGAAAACCAACGCACAGTCACTGTCAGCGTTGGGAGCGGTACAGGTAACTAGCACATATAACTATAACGTGACGACAGAAAAGGAATGCACAGTCACTGTCAACGTTTCTATCTTACAACACGTCTTCATGTGTGCAATAAACATGTTCTTAGTTAATGCTCCGGCAGCGATGGAGCGTCTGCCAGAGACTTAAATAAGGCAGGGAAACAATCCCTGTAACGCACCTCAGCTGTGCACGGAAACCCAATAGTCACCGATTACGGGATGCGATACAGCTGAGGTGCGGATCCTGCGAAAAGAAAGAAAGAAAGAAAAAGAGAGGCAGCGGCCCTGACATAATTCTAGCTCACTGTTACGTCACACCACTGTGACTTCAGAGAATGTTCAGTAAGAGTTGCTAATAATAATAGTAAGGTCTCACTTATTATTATTATTATTTCCAACTTATTTGGTTACCTTTTTACCATTAATATATTCATCAGCCCAGAGAAATCTGCCTGTTTTTCTTGGTTTCTGGCTGTTTCCACATATGGCCAGAGTTTGACATTTTTCATTTTGCCAGTGTGTCAACGCTGTCTTCACCTGCGTTTTCCTCTCTTTTACTGTCCTGGGAAAAATTCCTGACTTTGTTTCTGAAATTGTGTAATGTGAACTGCACAGTGACAGATCGCATATTTTTTTGCAGACCCACTCTATGGACCATATCAACATATAGGTCCATCTTTTCCTTGTCTGTAGGTGAGAGGAGTGTATAAACCTCAAAGATTTTTTTCTTCAGAGAGTGTGTGTAAATGCCCCGTTTGGTGATGTCACAAATATTAAGTAGTCATGTGTGTTTGTTTTTTATGATGACCTAATTTTTATGATAAGGTTAGTGCAGGGGAAAACCAACCTACATTTTGAATAAAAACAAATTTATATAATTAAACAGAAAACCAGTATATTAAATAATTTAGAACCACCTTTTTAACTGGCATGCATAATTTATAAAATAAAACTTACCATTACCAATTAAATTCATCAGATAGTATGGAATAAAGTCTGCAATAAAATCCAATATAAAATTAAAGATTGTTACCTTGTAATCATAAATTTATGAGCAGCAAATTACCATTGTAGCTGGTAGATGTGGGGCTGGTGTTAGCTAACAGAATGCTGTGACCTATAAGGTGATTAGTGCCACTATAACTGACTCACATCCTTTAGCTTTATGAATAACCATCTGAGCAAGCCTGACATGCAGTCTGATCATCAGTGCTGATTTGACCTCTCCTCAGGTAACATCAGTGCTGTGAATTTTACTGTGGAGACCAATGGAAGCAGAGTAATAATCAACATCACAGATCCTCTGACCAGTATTCATGAGGATGGGAAGCAGCTCAGCATCAGAGACATTCTCAAAAATGACCTCCAATACAAGATCAGCTACGGCAAGTCTGGAAGTACAGGCAAGGTATAGTATTCAGCAGTCAACAGTGGCACTGATATGATGCTCAGTCACACAAACACACTTGAAGTACTGAAAACTAAATTACTGTTGTATGATAAGCATGATGTTGGATCAGTGTTATTTTACATACAAAGAGTTAACAGTCACAAGAAAAAGTAATGGCACTGTCATTGGTCATGGAATGTGATCTGATCTTCACCAAAGTCACAAATATCAACAAACATATTTTTTCTTTATTGAACACACCCATTAAACATACAGAGTGATGGTGGAAAAAGTGATGGCAACACAAGGATTCTGATGTCACTAAATGTCAACTGGAGTCAGGTGTTAGCAACCCTGGAGTCCAGTCAATGAAATGAGAACGGCGGTCTGGTTTAGAACACTGACTTTTAAAAACACTCAAACAGTGTCAGTGTGCTATTCACAAGTAGCATAAGCTGATGGGAGCCATGTCTCACAAAAAAGAGATCTCAGAAAAGTTAAAATCAAGACTTGTTGATTTGCATATAGCTGGAAAGGGTTACAGAGTCATCTCAAAGACTCTAAATATTCAACAGTCCACAGTTACACATTTTGTCTATAAATGGAGACAAGTTGGTACTGTGGAGTAGCCCAATCAATGTCCAGACCTCAACCCAATAGAGATGCTGTGGAATGACCTCAATAGGCAAGGTCAAATAATGATGTTGATATTCTTGTACACTCAGGGCTGACATTTCATTTAAATATGTGCATGCATGACCGGTTAGGACCTGGTCCTCAACATAGTTAGATATAATATGATTGTGAACTATTAACACAAAACATTCAAATCTGATTAAGGCTGGGATAATGGTGGAGTGTTTGAAGCAGGAGGGGACTTGACACAGCTCCAGTGATCTACTGAATATCTGTGTGAAGATGGGATCCAGCTGAGCTTTCAGGGAGGTGGGGGTTACGCTGTCTGGGCCAGGTGCTTTCCTGATTTTCAGTTTTTTAAAGAGGCTTCGTCCAGCCTCTTCACAAACTGTCAGAGGTGGGGGACTGGGTGGAAGGTACGTGATCATGGAGGGAGCGGCTGTCGGTTGTGTGTCTAAGGTGAGATGGGTGAGGGGGGCTTCTGCTTCTCAAACCTACAATAAAACACATTCATCTCATCTGCCAGTTGATCATCTTCCACAGCAGGGAGGATGGTTTCCTGTAGCCAGTAATATTTTTCAGGCTTCTCCACACAGATGAGGGGTCGTTGGCTGAAACCTGGTTTTTCAGCTTTTCAGAGTAGCTCCTCAATGTGTTCCTGACCTGCCTGTACCTGATGCTGTCCCCACTTCTGTAGGCCTCCTCTTTGGCATGGTGAAGCTGCTTGCATTTTAATGTGAACTAAGGCTTGTTGTTGTATGTGCAGAAGGTCTTGGTGGGCGCACACACACGTCCTTGCAAAAGCTGATGTATGATGTCACAGTGTCAGCGAGTTCATCCAGGCCTGTAGTTGTGGTTTCCAAAACACTCCACTCCCTACAATCTAAAAATGTCTGCATCCTTGGTCCATGTCTTCACTGCTTTAGTCAGCTTTCACTTTCACTTGAATCATGCATGGATCTATTCATTTGGTCACTAATTTCATTAAATCAAGGATCATATTTCACAACCACTCGGGTTCCCTGTGAGCACATTTGATTCACACAATTGCCCTCATTGGTGCTTGGGGCAATGATTTTAATGTTCGAGGTAGACTGATTAAAGTGGACCTTAATTCGTAACACAGGCAAGTGGTAAAATACAAAAATGCTTTATTGTTAAACTGTGCACAGGGGATGAAGATTTCAGTAGTAAATGAACAGTTGGGAACGGGTGAGTCTTGTTTCTCCCCCAGGTGGTGCCACATGCCTGCAAAACATGCCCTGGCCTAAGGAGAATAGAGCACCACTACATTGTATGTGAGATCTGATTATTTCAGTTAAGTGAATGACATACTCACACCTATACAGTCTTGCATATGGTGGTGACCAGGAGGCAGTAAACCAGCAGCGGAGGGTGACAGACAGGTAGGAGAAGAGGAGACCAGGTGGGTAAGATGGTAGCAGCTTCAGAAGACCTTATGGCAGATAACCAGTAAGGTCGGTACTGGGTAAGTGGCACAGGCGATGTCTCAATCGTTTGCAGGTGATGATCAGGTGGGTACTGAAGAGCAGAAAAACACAGCACAACTAAACAATCAGGATCACACATGAAACAGGAATAACAAACTCAGAGGGGAGCAGCAGCATGAGCAGGCTAAACCGAAAATGAAACTCAGAGAAAACTCCTCCAGGAGCGTGTAATACCCCAGTTCTTTAATTGGACAGCTCTGAATAACAAAGGAGTCAGTCTTTCTTCATCTAGTGCTGATTTAATTTACCCACAAGTAAAAATTACAAACACAACCCGGGTTGCTCCTCCTTCCAGAGACACACACACACACACACACACACACACACACACACTCCTGGCCACACAGAGCCTAATACATTTATAAGTTTTGGGCTAACCCCTTACCCAAATGAAGTCAGTCCGAAGACTCCATCTCTTATCTAGAGCTCCACATGCTTTGAGCAGCTGCATTTCTACCTAGTCATAACGAAATGAAGAATCTCACTGTGTGTGTATGTTGTCACATGGTGTGTAGCTAAGGCATTCATTCATTTATTCAGACATAATATTCTAATACAAGGTTAATACAGAAAAGAATTGGTGTCATAATGACTTATGGTTCACTTTTCAGAATCAACATTCTGTCTGCTAACCTTGAAACAAAACAGACTAGAGCAGACTTTAAACTGCATTACTAAACACATCTGATTCAACACATTATTGTCTAACAATTATCTAACTGATTTACTAATATCTAACAAGCGTGAAAACGCTCTGTCATAAACTGTGCAAAAGCAGGATAACGATCCAACAGAACTTTAAGACCAAGGCAACGTCAAAATCCAAGGTCAGTTCACACAGTTCAGAGTCTTCACAGTCAGGCATCACATCCCCAGACAAACAGAGATCCAAATAATCAGAAAGACAGGCTTACAGGCAGGTGATGGCTCAGGCAAAACAATAGTCATTATCAGGCAAAAGGTTGGCTTCACCAGAAATGTAAGTAGAATGGCTGGAAAGTTCTGTGTTGCATTAAGAGACTGTTAGGATTGCTCGACACAACTGTGAGCGAGCAGAGAATTAACAGACCCAGGCGGCTGGCTTCGGTGCAAGTAGTGAAGTTAGTTAACATTGCTAACAGAGGTGCACATAAATATATACAAAATGGAAGGCAGGAAATCACCGGGTGTTGACCAACAG